AGTGAGGGTGGGGGGGGGGCGGGAACTGGGAGGAGGGGAGTTATGGGGGGAAAAAAGAGGAACAAATGTAATAATCTGAACAATAAAGATTTAAATTAAAAAAAAAAAAAGCATGGGGTCGTGAGACGAGGAGATCTTAGTTTCCTTTAAACTAGGCTCCTCTGACCCCCAAATGCCTTTCAAAATTATATTTTGTCTCTGGACTCCTATTTAATCTATGTACAGCCTTCTCCAGATTTCCCGAACCCTTCTTAATGCTGGAACAAGAACCCAGCAAGTGGGCAGCGTCGGACAGAGGCTGCATTAGAGGAGGGGCAGGGCCTGGGCTTCCGCAGGGAGGAGAGGGACAGATGAGCAGGGTGGCAGCGGTCCTGGCACCCCGAAACCAGTCTGAGGGCAGACAATGTGTCTCCTCAGGGGAGCGAGCCCAGGGTCCTGACTGACCCATCAGGGCGGGTGGAGACCATGAGAAGCCGGATGACACGGGACAGGAAATGAGGGATTCAGATGGGGAGAGGGGCAGGCTACGGCTGGGGGCTGACCAGAAGGGGGTTGCTAAACAAGCTTCCCTCTCCCCACCTCTCACACCCTGGCCTTCGGCAGGGCACTGTGCCTGCTGTGGAGGAGGCAGACACAGCCGGGAGGAAGGCTTCATTCCTGTGGGCACACACCCCTAAGAACAGTGTGCTCTGTCTACACGGTGGGCACAGAAGCAATCTGAGGCTAGCCCTGTGGGAACTTAGCGTCCACCACAGTTTACCCACAACCCAAGGCTGGAGGCTCAAGCCACCTCAGAAGGGTCAATGGGAGCTGAGCCTGGGACTAGAGGGTGGACATGTCAGCTGGGGGGTGGGGGATAGAAACAGAGGTAAAAGGTTTGATGTCCACATGTATTTAAAGGACCTGCGAGGAGGCAGAGGGTGTGATGAACTCATCCTGGAAAAGGTCAGGATCTGATCTGTCCCCTCCGGGTCCTTCTCTGCAAACTGAGGGGCCTGGGCCCGCTGCCCTCTCGGGACGAGCTGGCTGCCGCAGCCGAGAAGCCCTGCGGTCAGACAGCAAGCTGCACGCATCTTGAGTATAAAGTTGGCAGTTTATTCTATAACCCCTGCCCGTTTCCAGCATCCAAGAAGGTTCTCCTGTGCCCTTTTCCAGTTAACACCCTCCCCCACTCACCCCCCTAGGTAACCACGATTCTGACCTTGGCATCCACAAATTAGCTGGGCCAGTCCTGCAAGTCAATACAAATGGAATCATTCCGTTCTGGTTGGCCTGTTTGCACAACATAATGCCTGAGATCCATCTCGTGGCTGCCCCTCTCAGAGATGTGATTTCAATTAGCGTGGCCTCCTGACTCTGCCGCGATTCACCGTCTGTTCTCTGCTGATGGGCTTCTGGCCTGGGGCCATCCTACAGGCTGCGGTGACCCTCCTCGTGGGGCTCTGGTGGACTCGTGCCTCCTCCTGGTTGTGGAGCCACTGGCCTGTCTTTAGTAGATACTGCCACCTAGTTTCCCCGAAGTGGAGGGGTGACTTTTGCAGGTCTCCACCTGAACGTATAAAGAAGGACGTAGAGGGCGGAGAGGAAAGAACATTCCTTAAACAAATCCCAAGACAGGTTCTTTCAGCACCTGCTATGAGTTGATAAAAACTGAGCAGAGCCTCTCCCACTTCCCTGCGGCCGGACCTTCGCCGATCCTCGTTCCTCTGGGGCCGTTGGGCCTGGTGGGAGGCGTTGCACCAGTGCTCGGCTCCGTGAGGCACGTTGCTGCCTGGCCGCACACAGAACACACCCTCACCATCTGCTGGGTGGTTCTGCCGGGCCTGCCGGGTGCGCAGCTCAGCCACTCACAGAGAAACCAACGCACGGCAGCTCTTCCGCTTCCTGCCTCAGCAGCCTGCATCACAGGCTTTCAGACAGACCCAAAACAACTCCCTCCGACCTCTGTGCAAAAGGCATTCAGGGTTTCTGATGACAGGGCCCCACGCAGGTGCCAAAGCTCCTGCCCACCAATCTCTGCCAGCTCACAGAGCAAACGGCCTCTCTGCCTTCCAGGCGCTGCACCCCATTTATACCAACTCCTGGGGTGCCTTATAGGGAAACCCTGCCTCCCAGGGCCTGTCGTGTTCTGGGCAATAGAACGTGCCTTTCTGTAGAGCAACCTCAGCACTACTGACATCTTAGGCCGGATGATTCTTTGCGCCCAGGGGGCTGTGAATTGAGGGACGTTTGGCAGCGTCCCTGCCTCTACCCACTGGATGCCAGGAACACCCCGCGCTGTGACAACCGAAAACGTCTGCGGACATTGCCAAATGTCCCCAGGGGCAAACTCACGCCTGGTGGAGGGCCACTGCAGCAGGGAGACCAGTTTTTAAACACCCACCAGCCAGCGCACCCTCTCCCTCTCGAAGGGGGAGGTCAGCTACCCGAGACTCCATCAGGTTGGATGCGTGGCCACCTGTGTCCACAGCAGGAGTTTTACTCTTGGCAACCAAAACAGGACAGATGTTGGCACCAAAACATGAAAAACCACACCGTTGACTCTGGGAAAACTGAAAGACACATGAATATGGGAAGCAGAGGTAAGAGGACTTGGAAGTAAGAGCAACAATGAGGGAGACATGGTCTCTGTAAGTTCCCGTCTGTGAGCGGACACGGTTCCTACATCAGTGGCTCAGACACCGAACACAGGGCCATGGTTCACTTGGTGACGACACTGGTGTGAGGCCCACACTGCAAACCCAGTGTTTTCAGGAGGCGTCCTCCCCCCCCGAGTCCAGCTCCTTGTATGAAAACACAGACACACACACACAACTTCATGGGACTATTTTATTAAATCGAACAGTTTTACATGTATGTTGTTCTGGGTTTGTTTGTTTTTTTATTTTCTTTCTAAGTCCATTTTTTAAAAATCATATAAAATATGTTTACTATATCTTAGAAAATTAGCAAAAAAAATTAAGATTGTTCAGCATATTACATTGTACAATTAGGTAAGAATGTTTGAAAATTTATAAATATTTTGTTCCCTCAAGACGGCACATGACAAAAATACACTTTTAAAATGTTTTCATAGGTAATTCCTATAAATGATCATCCTCCCGTTTATTAAGTAAAAGGCCGGTTAGGACAAGCATTCCCACACTCCTGAAACGTTCTGTACAGTAACTACATGTGAAGCAAGGGGTCCGTCAGCACGTTGACAACTGAAACCATTTTTAAATCTTAGGAGGAATCCAGTTACTCTCAAAATATCATTCCACACGGGATCCACTTAGTCCATCTATGGGCCTTGATTCATAAGTACAGCAGGTCCTTGAATAACATCGTTTTGTGCAACACTGATCTGTTACGATGTTGAGGAGATACCACGAAAACTTCACGCTGGTCTTTATGAATTAGCCTGCGGGAAAACTGGTTTTGCTGTGGACGTCTCTTCGCTTAGGGTCGGAGAACCAGTCGATAATGTTAAGTGAGGACTTACTGTATCTGTCTGAGCCAAAGCACTGTTTAAAAGGATGTGTACGGCCCCGAAGCCAGATGTCAGTCAGTGACACCGTGCTTTAAACAGAAACCTGCACAGCCACACCCGCGGACTGTGGCCGCTCAGTCGAGGCACGGTCCATGGGCAGCTGCCAGCTTCCGTCTCTGAGCAGCACAGTCAAGGGCATCCCGTGTGAAGTGCCGGCAACTGGCCAATCTAGGTACTGGGAGGAGGACATGTGCTGCAGAAGGAGATGAGGACCCGAGTCCACGGAGGTCCAAGCATCCAGGGACCCAGAGCACCAACCCGCACCCCCCCTCCCCCCAACAGGACGACGGTGACGCTGACAAGAATGAGAGCTACAAAGGAATTTCCAGAAGCGGCAGTTTTCAAAGAAAGAGCCTGAAAGTGTTGACTTTTCTCCTTTCCAGATAAGCCCTTATCTGCAGGAAGAGGACCAAGGCTTCCGCAGTATCTGGACCGAACGGGAGGTTGACGGAAGAAGGGTTAGAAGCAGCAAAGCCAGTTCCTTTTGTCTTTCGCATCAAGCCCTCCAGCTGCACGCGGAGCCCAGCGGCGGCCGGGACGCTGCCGCGGTCACTCGGTGCCCTTCTTCCCTTTCCAGCTCTTCTGCCGCTCCTCCAGCTCCGCCTGGGTGAACGCGGCAGGGCCCCAGTGAGTGATCAGGTGAGGGTTTTTGGAACCTGAAAGACAAACAGGCTTTAAATACAGGAAGTGCTGTGTTCTTCCACTGGCATGATCATTTTCCCACAGACAAAACAGTGACTTTCCCACTGATTTCTTCTCCGAGGAACATCCGTAAGAGCCACAGCAGCCAAAGCAACTTGAACAGTGGTTCTCAACCTTCTGGCCCTTTAAATCCAGTTCCTCATGTTGTGGTGACCCCCCCAACCATAAAATTATTTTCATTGCTACTTCACTGTTCTTTTACCCTGCGAAAGGGTCGTTCGACCGCCAAAGGGGTCACGACCCACAGGTTGAGAACCGCTGAACTAGAAAATGTGCACAAAGGGATCACCGGGCCTTCGCGTCTGTTCAAGGGGCAAGTAAGTCAAGAGACACTTGCCCTGAGCAGCTTGGCTTCTGCGCGTTGGGGCTGAAGAAGTCTCTCTGCACAAGCCTGATGCACACAATGAAACAGAAGGACAGACCGAAGACACCCACAGCTGTTACCTGGTTCTATCAGGCGGATGAGCCCTTCGTGCTGGGCCACTTTGTCCTTCCAGCTCTTGGTCTTACTAGTTGCCATCTCCAGCTTCTTCTTAACGCCCTGAAACAGAGGAAGTTTTGGATTTGGCAACACACACTGGCAGTTGAAGAGCCAAACAACAATAGCCACTTCCCATCAGCTCAGTTTTCTCCGTGAGCCCTCCCAGCCCTCTGAGCAGCAGGGGCCCGCAGCGCCCCCAGATGCAGGTGAGGAGACTAGGATTCCGAGCAGTTGAGTGTCACACCGAGGACCTAATCCACACTGGTTACAGGTGCATGTCAAGTCCCGGGTGCCTGCCTCTTGGCTCCAAGTCCACCCTCCCTTGCCCAGCCGTGGCTCTAGGGTATGTCTTCCCACCAGCGGGCACCATCTCAGCTCTGTCAGCCGAGGGGGCTGAAGGGAGAAGGGGCTCGGCTTCCCAGTTCCACTAGGCTCTTCCCGGCGGCCCCCATGGCATGTGGGACACCCGTGGTGCCCCCCAAGGGGTTTCAGTGGCACCTCCCTGTGGCAGCTTCGGCCAGGGCCCCAGAGGCGGCCCCAGTGAGCTCCGTGGGCACAGCACCTCCGGGAGCTTCCCTGCCGTCCAGTGACCATGGCTGTGCCTCCCCAAGGAGGCCCGGGTCCCAGCACTGGGCTTACGGGGACCCTCCAGGCGTGTCCTTCCTGGGTGCTCTGCCTCAGTCCTGCTCCTGCCATTCCCATGCTCTTAGAGTCTTCTCTACCACTTCAAAGGGGATCCGGTTATAGTTAATACTTGTTTATATTCAATTTCCCCTGTTCCAGTTACTGTGTGGGTTCCATCTCCTGAGTGGACTCTAACCGACTTGCCTCACCGCCTTTCTTCTTACTTCCAGCTAAGCAAAATTCCTATTATGGCTTCTTGCCACTAAGCCAATGTTCTCTCATTTTAAAAAAGCGTGTCTGCCCGGCCGGTGTTGCTCAGTGGATAGAGCGTCCACCTGCAGACTGAAGGGTCCCGGGTTCGATTCCGGTCAAGGACATACACCTCAGTTGCAGGGGCATGTGCGGGAGGCAACCAATAGATGTGTCTCTCACATCGATGTTTTGCTCTCTCTGTCTCTCCCCTCCCTCCCACACTAGCTAAAAACCAATGGAAACATCCTGGGTGAGGATTAACAACAAAACAAAAAGCTTGGCCCTAACCGGTTTGGCTCAGTGGCTAGAGCGTCGGCCTGCGGACTAAGAGGTCCCGGGTTTGATTCCGGTCAAGGGCATGTACCTTGGTTGCTGGCACATCCCCAGTGGGAGGCGTGCAGGAGGCAGCTGATCGATGCTTCTCTCTCATCGATGTTTCTAACTCTCTATCCCTCTCCCTTCCTCTCTGTAAAAAATCAATAAAATATATTTTTTTTAAAAAAGAAAAAGCTTGTTTTTAACCATTTAAATGCACATTTGCCGTGTAGGCTACCTCGTACTGCTCAAGCGCCTGCTTCCGCTCCAGCTCCAGCTGCTCCAGCTGCGCCATGGCTTCCTGAAGGGCCCGCTCCTTCATGATGCGCTGGTTCTCCAGCTCCTGCTTCTCCGCCTCGGTTGTCTCGATGGCCTGCTGCTGCTCCAGGTGCCACCTCTCCAGCTCCGCCCTCTTGGAAGACTCTTCCTCCAGCAACCTGCAATGTGGGAGCTCAGGATCATGGGGGCCCCGGCCTCCACACCTGACCCCCCACGTGACGAGGCACTCGAGCAGGAGACTCTCCAAGGTCACCCCATCCGCCTCTCTCGTGCTGCAAGGAGGAAACTCGGACCCAGAGGCCCGTGTTCACAGGACATGCCCCACGCGTCCTGCTCCAAACTGTTTCACCCTCTTTTGGAAAAAAAATTAATGACATTTAAGGAGGCTTACTGTGCCTTGAGCTGGGCCAATAGTTAAGTATATTCCGAATTAATCCTCACAATAAGCTTAAGATGAAGAAAGTGAGGCACAAAGGTTAAGTGACCTGACCACGTCGTTTGCCTGGCAGGTGGCAGGGCCACGTTCTGAAATTTGCCTGGTTACGCCAACATCTAAACACTTTTCATCTGTAAAAACCTATCACAGAGGAAAAAGCTGACAAACTAATGAAGGTGAGGGAAGGAGGAACTAACAAAAGGTAGAATAACAATAGAAACCATTTACTAAACAATTACTACATGCCAAGCACTTTACCGTCCTCATCATCAACCCCACAAACAAGGCGCTATCATTTCTACGTTATACATGAAGCCACTGAAAAGCAAACATGTAGCAATGGGTTTCAACCCAGGTCTGTGTGACTCCAAATCCCATGTAATAAAAGGCTAATATGCAAATAGACCGAACGGCGGAACAACCGAACAACTGGTTGCTATGATGTGTGCTGAACACCGGGGGGCATGCACAGAATATGGCAGGCGTTGGCTGCAGTGGGATGGTGGAGCAGGTGAGCGAGGGTACCAGACCAAGGCAGGGCGCCGGTTGCTGTCATCGGGGCGAGCCCCTGGTGGTTACTGAAAATTCTTTGCTCCCGCACGACACGGTCCCGCCTGGCACTTGCACCTGCTGCCGGCGCCAGCTCCGCTCACACCCACTGCCGGCAATGGAGCCACTGCTCGCACCCACTGCCAGTGCCCTATGCCAGCCCCGATCACTAGGCGCCATCAGTGGATGTGAGCGGCGGCTGCTGGCCCCAATCGTCCCTGAGGGCTTCTCCACCTCCCCCTACTCCTGAGGGGCGATGGGGGCAGCAGCCACCACTCGCACCTGCTGACGACACCACCCCAATTGCTTCGCGCCATCAGTGTCAGCAGGTGCTAGTGGGCCGGCGCCATCAGTGTGTGGGAAAGGCAGTGGCAGGAGCGGGGCTTCAGGCAGACAGGGGACCATGGGGGGATGGGGCTGCAGTGGGAGGGGCTGGGCGGGGGTGCAGAGGATGGGCTGAAACCTGCCCCTGTGCCCACTGCAGCCTCGTGGCCCACGGTTCCTTTCAAGGTGCACGAATTCGTGCACTGAGCCCCTAGTGTTACCATAATAGGCTACCTGTCTGAGAACTTCCAGATACTTAGGTATTTAAATCAACTAAACCAACAGACAACCCAAACCTGTCCCCAAAGCACAGACACTGGTCAGATGCCAGCCCAGGACAGGACGCACCGCTCGTGTCTGGACCATCAGTAACAAGCCATACAGCAGGCCAGTTATTACCCGAGAACATCTGCTCTTCTAAAACCAACAGCAAAGGAAGTAAAGTAACAGACTCCACACCCCTATCTAACCACCCCCCACCCCCAACTACTCCACCCTAACCCCCAACCACAGCTCTGTCAAAATTCCCCCGACAACACCCTGCGAGGTGGTTGCCCAACTCGGCTCGAATACCCTGTGTGATGGGCCACTCGCTGCATTATAGACGGAGCCCGTTGCTTTGTGGGCAGCCTCGATCCTGGGAAAGGTCTTCCTCAGCCAAGATGAGCCCTCCCGCCTCCCATCCCTAGCACCACAGAGGCCAATCGGTGCCCCTGGGATGTCTCTTGGGCTGCGATGTCCACACCTGCACACCCTGCGAGTGTGGTCTGACCAGTGCAGTCCACTCCCCCGCTCGCGTGGACCTATTACCCCCTCCCGTGGTCCTTCCTAGGTGCTGGGACACAGCAGTGAATAAGACTGGAGGGCCTGCTTCTTCACCCCAGTGTGAGAGGATGGAGGGGGAAGGACACTGGCAGCGTGCAGGCAGCCCAGCATCTGAACCCCCTTCACAGGTCTAGAGAAGCCGGCATAGATGGTGTCGTGATGGAAAGCAGGGCGCACCTCCCGCTACAGAAGCCGCAGGTGATGCCTGCCCCTCCTGCCCCTTGGCAGCCAGGACACGAGGAAAGCCTGGGCTTGCTAAGCAGCTGCCCCTCCTGGATCTTCGCCTCTGAGGCAACGGACACAAAGAAGCAGAGACAGTGGGGAATTTATCGTGGCAGCAGTAGCCACGATCCAGTGGTGGCAGAAGCAGCCACCGACACGGTGCCAATGTCGGCACCACGGCCTCCTGACTGGACTCTTCCCGTGGCCTGGTTTGGGCTGGGGTTTGGTTCCTGCCTGGGTCCCAGGCCTGGCCACCTGCTGTTCTGTGGAACTGGAGAACTACCTAAGAACCTTCCCAGGAATTGTTTGATTACTGTAGCCAACGCAAGCTGTTTCTGTGGTTTGCAAACAAGCCCCTGACCAAAGAATCTAACCTCTCTGTTTCCTCATTTACAGAAAAGCTATAGGAACGACACCCACCATCAAAGGTTTGCTGATGCATTAAATGTGACAATGCGTGTAAGGTACTTAGAACAGCATCCATCACATAGAAAATGCTGACTGAAGCAGCTTTTGTTATTACGGGAGGAATTATTGCCTCATTAGCTCTGGATTCTCACATTCACTCAGGCTAACCTGAGAGTAGATGAGGTTTTTGGCAATCACTTCACAAGGAAAGTAAAACTCCGAATCTTTTCGAATGAATTTCTATTCAGCCAGGTCTCCTGGATCCTATACTTGATCTGTTGGTAATATTTTTTAAAAAAAAAATTATTGATTTCAGTAAGGAAGGGAGAGGGAGAATAGAAACATCAATGATGAGAGAGAATCATTGTTCAGCTGCCTCCTACACACCCCACACTGGGGATTGAGCCCCCAACCCAGGCATGTGCCCTGACCAGGAATCGAACCGTGACCTCCTGGTTCATAGGTCGAGGCTCAACCACTGAGCCATGCCGGCTGGGCACATACAATTTCTTTAGTAAAAGATTTCTCTTTCCATAAAGCAAACACTTTCCATTGTTTCTGTTACTTAGAGAAACATCAATGAAGAGAGAGAATCAATGGTCAGCTGTCCCTTACACACCCCACACTGGGGATTGAGCCCCCAACCCAGGCATGTGCCCTGACCAGGAATCGAACCGTGACCTCCTGGTTCATAGGTCGAGGCTCAACCACTGAGCCACGCCAACCGGGCTTCTGCTGCTATTTTGAACTATCTTCTTGGTATCAAACCATCATTCCAGCCTGTCGGTATCTTTTGAAGAATTCTCATTTTGACATTCTACATATTATCTCTCTTCCTCATCTGTAAGCGAGATAAAGGAACAGAAGCCAACACTGAGTGACTAGCAAACGCCAGGCCTTGCACAAGCAGTCTGCATGCATTCTCTCGTGTCATCTCCTCAACCCTGCAAGGTGGGCAGTTACCCTCCGTCTATGGATAAGGAACTGAAGGCTCAACGCAGTGAAATGGCTCTTCTAAAGTTAGAAAAGTAGCTAGAAAGTAGCTGGGAGCCAAACCCAGACCTCACTCCGAGCTCGGTTCCTCACTGCCTTCACATACGTGAAAACTATCACACGTGGAAGAGACTGTTGTTCCAAGAGGCCCCCGTGAGTAGAACTTGGATCCGCTGAGTTATCCACAAAACACCTGTGGGTGCTTGCCGTGTGCCAGGCGCGGCACCCGCTGCTGAGGCTGCAGCCATGACTGAAGTGTGCCGCAGGCCTCACAGGCCCGAAACGCAGTGGGAGGAAGTTATAATGGGACAGGCGATGGCTCAGCCTCAAGAACTTTCCAATAGCTGGGTTTTCCCAATGTCAACTGAACAGTTTTCTTCTGAGTTCCCATTCAGAAGAGGCTAGCGAACCTTCAGGTTACACATCAAAAAAATAAACTTCAATTTTAATATATCAAAAAATTGACAAGACCCCGATGGCGCAAGTCAAAGTTCTTGCACTTAAACAAGTTACTATATAAAGCATCTCTGGGGAGCCTGGCTGGAGTGGCGCGGCGGTTGAGCATCCACCCAGGAACCAAGAGGTCGCTGGATGGATTCCCAGCCAGGGCACATGCCTGGGTGGGGGGCTCAATCCCCAGTGAGGGATGTGCAAGAGGCAGCCAATTAGTGATGTTCCTCTCTCGTCAATGTTTCTATCTGTCCCTCTCCCTTCCTCTCTCTCTCAAATCAATAAAGACATATTTAAAAATAAATAAATAAAGTATCTCTGGGGACATAGTGAGATAATGTTAAGGCACTGACAGAGAAAGGGTCTTCCAGTGGGAGAAAGAGATGCCAGCTATTCCAAGAACGACGGAATATTGCTAGAAGAAAGGGCGGGAGGATTAACTAAAAAGCCCTCGACATATACCCTTCACCTAAGGCTGTTTCATTTCCTTAGAGGGAGCCTTAAGTGTTTCTACCTCAACTCCATGAGGACTTCCCTTGATTTGCTACCGAGAAAGGCCTGTTCTGGGAGTGGGAGCAAGAAGAAAGCCCCCTTTGCCAATCTGACAAAATGACCCTCTGAACCAGGCCGTGCCTTCCGGGATTGCAAAGGAGGGACTGGCCGTGCTTAAAAATGACCACCAGAGGGCGTCAGTTTACCCATTTCAAGTTCCAAAAACTAAGTTAAAAGAAAAATAATTGAAAGTAGCAAAATAAATACCGTATACTCATAAAGTGGCTTTTGCACATCAAGAAAAAGTTAATTTTTGTACAGAAATTTCAGCTTATTGGTGCAAATCTGTACATATGTAACAGCTACATTTGCACTCAAAAGGTTGAAACCATTTTGCTATGTACTTAAATCAGAATGTACAAAATAATTAGCCAGAGTTTTTTAAATAGCAATACTCATTCCTGGCTCCTACCTACAGATGTTTTGATTCAGTAAATGTGGGACAGGCCCTACATGTGTATTTTTTTTTAATTTTACAGATGATTCTAATATTTACCACTGGTTAAAAGCCACAAGTTTTATCCAAAATTATCCCTTATTCAAAATCACTCATTTACAAAATAACTAATCTATAATAATAAAAGCATAATATGTTAATTAGATCAGATGTCCTTCCGGATAAAGCAGGAGCTGCGAGGGAAGTTGGGGTCCTGGGTGCCAGAGGGCAGCAGGGGGAATTTCATGCATCGGGCCTCTAGTATTTTAATAAGTTTCTAGAGATATCTGGTTCCCTCTGTGATCCAATCTCTGCTGTGTTATAATCAACCTCTCCAAACTGCAGGGGAGTAAAATATATATCACAGCTCTCCTGTGAGTTCTCTGCACAGGGTAATCTATGAACTCCCAGCACACCAAAAATAATAAAGAGGCCCCAAACCATCTTGTGCCCGTAGAATGCCTCTCTTTGGAAGTCACATAGACTCAAACCTTGCCGGTAAGTGAACCTTGTGCCAACATCAATGGCAACTGGGTGGCAGTTCTAAGAATCTAGTTAACATCACAGGGCATTGAGCACACACCTGTGGGACTGTAAATGCCAGGCAATATGCTAAGCATTTGATTTTCTACTTAGAAGGTCATTTTTCCTTAATAGGATTAAAATTTTCAAAACCTATTTATTTTTAAAATCATTTTGGCAAAGTGTACAACGAAGACCTCCTCTCTCCTCTTCCTGCCTAAATATTAAGCGAGCCTCCTCTGCCGCTCCACATGAGAACGGCAGCCGTGGGAAATCTACCGGGCCGTCCCGCAGCTGTTCCCCAAAGCGGAGGCACAGCTCGAAGCCTGCGTGCACCTGCGCTGACCAGCCGGCCACTGGGTCAGTGTGCTTAGTGAAGACAAGACAGCGTAAAGAACACAAAGGGAAGCAAGTGGGAGATGAAGCGGAGAGCTCCAATTTCACGTTCGGGTCTTCATTCTACCCCATCCTCCCTGCTGCTACAAAGACCAAAAACACAGAGTTCTCATCCGAGAACATGACTATCACAAATAGTGAACCTGGCTTTAAAAGCTCTAAGCTTTTAAAAGGGTGGGGAACCTTTTTGCTGCCAAGGGCCATTTAGATATTTATAACATCATCCACTTAATATAATTCACTCAATATAAACGTATGTTGCCATGACAAAAGCTCCTAGATTTACTGAATTTCGAGTCCGACCTGCGGTTGCCTTGGCAGGGCCAGACCAAATGATTTCACGGGCCTTGTACGGCCCATGGGCCCGACGTTCCCCACCCCTGCTCTAAGGGAAAAAACAGTCTAGCTTTTAAGAAGTTCTAAAAGTAAGATTTTGAATAATAATTATTTAAAGAATCTCACTAATCCCAAATGACCAAATGAAAACTGATTTCCTCCTTCTCCCCCAAAAGAGGCTGCAACTTGGCGTGAAGCAGGCCCCTGTCTCCATACCAAGGGCTCTTCTCTGGTCCGGAACATGCCGGCGAAGCCAGGGTCTCGCCAGAGCTGATCCTGGGTCCCCGGGCATTCTAGCTGGGCACCCCGTCCAACACACCGAGACTGCTCTGAAATACCGGTCAGGTCTACGGCCATACCACCCTGAACGCCCCGATCTCGTCTGAAATACCGGTCAGCCCGCAGCCCCAGAAGCGAGGCTCTCCCAGCGCCCCGACTGAGAACAGACAACGCAGCCAGCGAGCCTCCAGGTCTCTCTTTCTCCACCAGCGTCAGCCATGCCTAGAAACTCTGCAAAGGCAAGTACACAAACGGATGGGCACCTGGCCTGAAGCTTCCGCACAGTCTCTTCATCTTGCCGGGCCTGCCGCTCATCCTCAAGGGCCTCCTGCAGCTTTACGTACATGTCTTCCAGCTCCCGCACTCGCTGCAAATACTGTTCCAGTTCACAGGACTTTTGGGCAACCTGTTCTTCCATCTGCTGTCGGATCTGACGGTAGAAAAGGGTCATATTCAATCGCAGGCTGGCCTCACCCTCAGGGAAACCCTCCCACTCCACCACCGTCCTGAGGGGTTGCCACTGCCCACAGCTGCAGCCCCGCAGGATGGCGGGGCCCTGCCCTTCGTCCTTGATGGAAAAATAGAGGAATCGAGCACCCCCTCCCAGTACCAACACCAGAACCCACACCCAGAGAGTCCGGGACAAACTACAACGCCGATGCCGTGTTCCTGCCCCAGTACATTCTCCATCCTTTCCGCTACACGCCTTACAATCAAGTCAAGGGAAAAAAATATGTTTCCCTGTATAATTTCCCTTTAGATTATTTTCTGTCTTAAAGCTACAAGCCCTTTGCCAACAGAGTCTTCTCTGAAAGGAATGACATTTTCCCAGTCGGAACTGCCGAAGGGGAAGGGAAACACTGATGTGCGGAGACTCCCGCACTTACCTGGCAGCCTAGCACCTCCCTGCCCCTCCCCGCCCCCTAGGGCACCCCCAGCCCTGGGGAGACTCAGACAGGGAATTTAGTGTCCTGACAAGGTTATGGCTCCTCCCTTCTGGGTTTAAGAGTTTGAATCTCTGCCTTAACAAGGAAAAGACAAGGGCATCCTAAACATAATAGCACACACACGAGCTTATCCAGTTTATAAAACACTTGCACTGGCATTAGCTCACGTCATCCTCATAACAGTCATGACGGATCATATGATAACCCCCTAATTTAAAGACGAGAAACTAGGGCTCAGGAAGAGGGAGCAGAGAGGAAACAAACCCAGGCCCCTGGCTGTGAGGGGGCACCCTTTACATCACTGGCCCTCCTCTGTGCGCTGTTCTCTCGCAGCTCAAACATGTCCATTTCAATGCTAAGGGACAAAAGGTTGCCAAAGGCAATGTGATGAGCATCTAACAGGCGCTGGGCTCAGCATGCTCCACACGGTCAGAACTCAATGTGAGAAGACCTGCCAACTACGGGCATCTTGGGGATGGGAGCCTCTTAGATGAATCAGAGCTGCTGAGGGCAGACCAGAATCCGTATGTTTTCATGATTTCAGGACCTCCGACTTGGCTCATTACAGAGGAGAAAAGTCATGGAACCGATGTGCACTTTTTCCATAGCTATTTATTTTCCAAGCCAGGAACACTCTGAGAGGGAAAAGGGATGCTGGTAATAATTATACCGAGGTGGCAGAGACTGTCCCAGTCAAACCAAGACATAGTCACCCTAACCAAGCCCTTACCGCCCCATTCCTTAAACTTCCACTTCAGGGTCTTGAAAGCAAGGTTTATGTCTTATACCTTTACATCCTGGGCATGGTGCCCTGCCCATAGAAGGTGCTCAATAAACCAACAATGGGTGAATGAACAGACACATCACTTCCCCAACAGCGCACTGCAAGCCGGTAGCAGAGCCAAGCTGACAACATGGTCTCACTGCAGCCTCCCAGGCCCTCGCCCCACCGACCAGGCTGGCCCTGGGACGGCGCCAGCAGCGCTCCCCAGGCGTGCGGTACTCACAAGCTTCTCTCGCTCCAGCTCCGAGCTGAACCTGGCCTGTAGTTCCACTTGCGTCTCGAGGCGTTTCTTTTCTTCTTCCGCTGCCCGAGATGCTGCTTCTTCCAGTTTCTACCCAATCGAAAGCCATCCACAGAAATGCATTTGGAGAGAGAAATGGTCACACTTAAACATGTGCGAGAATCCACACACTCTTGATGCTCCATAAATAAAGAACAAAAACTTTTGGATCCCCTGGACTTCCATTCCAGTAATTTTCCCAGCCAATGTACAAAACAAATTCGTTAAATCAATGACTACTGATAAGTCTGAACAGCATTTTGCAATGGAGTCACACTCATGTGCAAATGCATTCATGAGTTCGCGATCTACTTCTTGGGTTCTTACTGTAAGTGTTGTCATCTTACACATTATTCCTTAAAACTTACGAGCCCGACTTCCAGAGGGCGGCCTGAGGAGCTCCATATTCTCTCCCCCAGTGAAACAACAATTAGAAACAACCACTTAAGCCCGGCCTCGATGGCTCAGTAGTTGAGCCTTGACCTATGAACCAGGAGGTCATGGTTCAATTCCCAGTAGGGGCACATGCCTGGATTGGGGGCTCCATTCCCAGTGTAGGATGTACAGGAGGCAGCCGATAGATGTTTCTCTCTCATAATGGATTTTTCCATTTATCTCTCCCTCTCCCTTCGTCTCTGAAATCAATAAAAAAACATATTTTTTAAAAAAGAATGAGAAGAATATATGTTCATATTTTCTTATAAATACTAAATAAACCTAGAAGGATACACAAGAAATAAAAAATAATCGTTACCTTAGGCACGGGGTGGGAGCTAGACAAAGGGAGAAAAGAAGTGGGAGGAAATATTTTCACTAAATCTTTTTGTAATTTTTAATTTTGAACCATATAATTATATTACCTACACAAATGATTATATTTTTTAAAGAAACAACAGTAGGAAGGAAACATTATTTTGGGAGGAGGAATGAACAGACAGAACAAAATTCTCTTGATGATACTCCAATGGTAGATATACGTCATTACACGTGTCCAAACCACAGAATGTAGAACACGAAGAGTGAACCCTAATATAAACTATGGCTCTGGGTGATCATGAGTATCTGTGTAGTAGACTCATCAATTGTAACAAATGTACCCACTCTGGTGGGGGATGTTGAGCATGGGGGAAGCTATGCATACGCTGGGGCAGACGGCATATGGGAAATCTCTGTAACTTCCAGTTAATTTTATTGTGAACCTAAAACTGCCCTACAAAAATAAAGCCTTTTAAAAAAATTATTTAAGTAAAGTCTTTAAAGAAATCTATTAATTGATATTTTAAAAAGACAATACCAGGATTTCTTACAGCTTCTTCTCGATCAACTAAGGCTTAGCAAGTCATACAAAATTCACTAATATGTAGCCTAATTCCAGGCCAGGGAGAGAATTTTATTTCTTGATAAGAAAAAGAAAATTAG